GGGTCATTATCAAATATGATTATTAAACGTCAATGTCTTTATACATACTTTCTTTATCTTAACCTCAAAAACTAGAAGGCATGCATGAAGACTAGAGACGAGACTCAACTCCTGCTTAAATCAGTGACAGTGCGGTCGAACGGCCGATTCATGAACTGGTAAGGTCAACAAACGTAAAGCCAGTATCACATTATGCATTAAGATTGCGTCGCGGCGACCAATCAGAACGAAGAAATGTTTTTCCTGATTAAACAAGTGGATTCGGTTTTAAGGTTATGTTACATCATATGATATATTTTTTTTAACGAATTGATTGACAAAATGAAGCATTTCTAAAGTTTAAAAACTTTTCTATTTTCTGCAACCAATCAACACGCTTGAAAAATTTGTCATGCGATAAATGTAATTTTACCCTAACGGGGATTCACCTGTGTCCGATATGATATGATTTATACATTTAGATCAACGAGCAACTACAGGGGCTGGAGTCTCGAATTCACTCGAAAGAGAAACGAATACGAATTCTGTTCGTATAGAAAACTTGCAAGTCAATTGGCTGTTCGCATGGCTTTTAGCCAATCGACTTGTAACTTTTTCGCAAGAACAAAATTTGCGCATACGTTTATCATGCAAATGAATTCAAGAATCGAGTCCCCGATAAAAACTAATTGTATTGGATATCGAATGTCGTATATCGGATATAGTATGAATTTTTCTGTATGTATACACTCAATCTCTAAAATAATTGATTTTTATATTAAATCTGAGTAATTTTAATTATGCTGAGACAATTTATGAGTCTATAAAAAAGGGAATACAAGAATGCTTTTTCAGTTTTACTTTTTCGTTATTAACGATGTTTATTGAACCATAATTTATCAACTGGTGATATCCATCTATTACAACCGAGCATGTTGTTCTGAACCATATATTTCCACGTCCAAAGATGTTGATTGTTCTCTTCGAGCCGTTTTTCTTTAGCTGCGTGTCTATCTAAAATCTCTTGGTTGACAGCTTTGGCTTCGAACGGTAGTTGATTTGCAACTTGCGTTAATACTCGCTTTACCTAAAACAGAATTTTATATATTAATACATTCCCATTTATTTATGCTCTTTATATATTATATAATAGCACAAGTCAAAGCTCCTAGTATTTCGTATCTATTTCTCATTTAAGTTGTATTAGTATGCATAGTGCAAAATTTAAGATCGCGTATCGTCATATAAAATAAAACTTCGAGAACAACTCAGATTTAGGGCCAGTTTCACAAACGTCGGTTAACTTCAGTTAACTCCTTATCTTTTTCTGTCGTATTATCTAAGAAGAGACAGAGAATCAATTAATCTTCGGTTACCGACGCTTGTGAAACTGGCCCTTGGAGATTTACATGCGAAAATCTGAATTCATGAAAATCCATAAAATATCCGAACATGATCAACAAGATTACATTTTCTAAGTTCCAAGTATTCTTCAAAAATGTCGTTATTAAACGTTTTAGATATATATGCCATCTAGACAAGTTACTTAAAAAACTGCTAAAGAGAGCAATGTATCATTAAAATACCTCAAAATATTCACAATGGCCACCGATTTCTACGATGACTCGTCCCGCTTTAATGGGGGTGACATAGTGGTCAATAGCACCTTTACCTCCACCCATACGCATTCCTTGTCCCTAGATTACAGAGCATATTATAGCGAGAGAGTACAATTTCGGTAATTTTGCATAAAAGGGGTCTCCCCTCCAATTTCATTAATTTTTTAATATGTTATTAGGAGATCTTCCCCGAGTAATTTCATAAATGAGCCCCTTTTATGAATAATTACCAAAGTTTCTTCTAATATTATATTTCATATTGCACGACCCATTACTTCGGTCGCACCTTTTTTGTAACTGGCTGCCACGGTGGATCCACACGCCAGATTGCAAACATCCTTTGTTGATCGAGTTTTCTACCGATTGTCATACGTATCATCTCGAAGTGACCATATCTCAATCTACCTCCTTTCAGAGCCTAGAACAATTCAAGAAAATGATAATCTCCGACAGTTTTCCTTGTTTTTTTCACCAAGCATAGCAGATATGTGCTTACAACGATGCCGAATTGCCTGTACATGAGACTATTGTGCACCTCCTCCGGACCCCGCATGTATCTCAGTCGCTTTTGCATCTTGGGAGGACGCATCCCCGCTGGATACTGCGGCACTTTTTCCACTACTCTGAGTCTCGCTCGTTCCGGGAATTCAATCTCTAACAATTTAATATACGAACATATATAATTCCAAATTAACACCTTTAATATATTATAATATTTATAATCACGCATATTTACCGCCAAACTTTACTGGAGAACGAAAGACCTTTAAACCAGCCGCTGGCGTTGCAGATACAGATTGCCATGCTGTAAAAACGTAACGATGTGACAAGTGCGAATTGAATCCGGGTTTTTAACGTAACTGAATTGTCCTCTGCGAAAAGATTGCGTCAAAAATACTTACTGGAAAGTAAAGTGCGCGCGACGTTTCTGGATGCTTGCATCATTTTTAGGTTAACAAGGTAAACTTATTTTCGTTAACAATTATACGAACCGCTGAGTGATTCTAAGTAAACAAATAGACAGCCTATACTTTAATTATCTCATAAAATACGCATGACAAAATGTGCGAACAAGTAAACGTATCACATCTCCGTGAATCGTACAGGAGCCAGAAACTCCAGCTGCAAACTCGCAGTCGCATGGAAAGGGGTATTCATTTCGTGATCCAAAAAGCCGCCCGATGGCGTGGTAAGTAAACAAAGATGTAAACGATTCGAATCTTTTCGAACGCGGAGTTCAATATACTGCAAAACATTTTGACAGCGAAATAATTTGTCGTATGTTGCTACGTGTATAAAATTATAAAATTGTATTGTTAAAAAAAATGATCGATCTTGTGAAACTAAATTAAATCAATATTTTTAGTGTATAATTTGAAATATATATATTTTATATATCCATATGACATTAATTTAATTAAATTAAATCATTTAGTACACTTTTTATTTTTGACTCGTCAAAATAAAATGTGTATTACTTTGCTTTCCCGCGAGATTGCGATTGATTTCTTCAACAAGCTAAAATAGTTGAGAATCAGAAAATAATTTCGGATATGAGTTAACGAAAAAGTAATTTTCTCTACAGGATGTATCTAAAAAAAAGACGCCTCTCTCCGAGACTCTCTGAGCTAAAGAATGATATAATGTACGTACATCGAGTGATAATTTATTTTTTATATATATATGTACTATGTCGCTTTTCGTCAGAATTATTACAATACAAAACAATTGATTACAAAAGTTAAACGAAAGTTTTAAGTGTATGCTGCGTATACTTGTAATTACATATCTTAAATGTATTTAATAGTTTAGCTTCCACGTCAACTTTCCTTCTTTCTTTAGAAACTCCAGTACGGAAAGAACCAAGTCTCGAGTAGGTCGCCGACTAAACATCAATTTCGTTATAACCGAACGAGAGTATCAGTTGAAGGAGAAAGGGCTTAGTGATATGAGAAGCTCGATATGTTACAATTACAATATTTTTATATATCTTTGATGACGGTTTGATGGTAACAACAGGTAAATACTACATATTGTACATTGAGTAGGCGATAGTCGTATCTTATTGTTATTAATTATAGCATATCGGCGGCGCCGACATTGATGTCGATAGTGACGACGGCTACGGCCACGATGACGATAACGGCTACGACAACCTCATGTCTCCGGTATACGCGCAATCGACGCGGCGATGGCAACAGCAATAGCAACAGCAGCAACAATCTCATTAACAATAACAGCAACAGCAACGATGACAATAATATAATGATAGTAGTACAAGTAACAATAGCAGTATATAGTAATAGACATGATGATAATAATATTTTCGCTAATCAGAGTAGAGGGTCATTCCAGAGTTCCGGGCAATATTTTACAGATTTTGTTCCTTCATACTTTATTTGAATAAACTTGCGACGAGTGGCACCTCGGGGCAAAAGAATCTTATTTTAAAAACTATCAAATTTCACTTTTATAAGCAAGGCAAAAGTAGACGAATCAGCTTTAATATTCAGTTTATTTCTATTTCTTGAAAAAAATTAACAGAGGACATTATTTTGAGTTACTGACACGAGTTACTTTCTCTCTCCGAATCTTTTACCGAGCAATATATTTTGCCTGACTTTAATTGTAAGACAGACGAGGAATCAATTGAAACTATTCAAATATTTGATAAAAAATATTTCCGCAGAAAAAAATTATGTTTCACATGTTTATTCTAATAAAGTACAGAAATGTCATCTGGTATCATGGAATGACTTCGATATCTTGTGCTGATACTATGCTTGCAACAGTATAAACGAAGCAAGATGTCCCCGAGCTTTTAGAACCAGAAAGATTAACGATTTGTCTGTAAAAAATGTTGACAGAAAACCGGTACGAAATTTGTCTTGATTATTAAGTATTAAAATGTAGAAGTTGGTCATACAAGCGAAAAAGTTAAACATTCATCATGTGTAGTTCTTTAGGCATGCAATTAAAAAATTGCATGCTCCTTTTTAAATTCTCTCAAACCTAGTATTTATTTTGTAAAACAAGAATTGAGTATGGAGTGTACGGAGGCAAGAAAAAGATTTCATTATTGTGAAGATATAAACTTATATAAGCGAAATTTGTCAGAATGTATTCGTTTTATCGGGGCAGTTGAAACCATCGACAAACTTCTGCACGGTTATGATAATCGTTTTCTTTCAGAAGCGTTGAATTCGGAGAACACTCGCAAATATTGTCGTCATCGTAGATGCAGTCACCACCGCCATCGTCAACGTCCTCGAGCGTCGTCGTCGCGAGCGCAGTAATTACTAATTATCGCACTCTTCGCTTTTCTTCTCTCTTTAGTTCCGCATTTATCACACTTAAAATAAACGGGGTGTTTGAGGAATGTGCACGGATGCAGAGTCAGCGATGCATTGTGGTGAATCTATCGCACCTCTCTAAATCGGCAGGAGCTCAGGAAAGAGGAAAGATTGAAAGGACCACACGCGTTCACTGTCGCTTATTACATTGGTCGTTAATAGGAATTTTCGTACATTGGATGAATCATGGAACAAATGCGAGGGGGAGATGAAAGGAATCTTGGAAGGGACTGCCGATGATTCTCAAGCGATCAAGTTTCGACTAGTAGTACAATTTTTTGTGCTCCTAGCATTATCTGCGAAAATATGATTGTTAAAAAATAAATATTACACCAATATGTTTACTTTTAAAAGATATCGAATGGCTGAAAAGTATTAATACAGACGTGTTAATTAATATGTCAAAAGGATATAAAAGACGTCTTTGTAATAAGGATAAAAAAGATGAGGAAGAAAGCAAAAAGAAAAAGTTTTAGAAGAGAAAAGAGAGTAAAAAGATTTGGATAAGTACACTAAGAGAAGTGGCTATGACGACAAGTTCTTGTAACATGACACAACTGTGAAATCTCTCTTGCGATATAACAAAAATCTTAAATCGAGGATCACTGGATTACATTGAAAAGGTCAGGTTCCGATGCCTAGTTTTGCGAGAAGCTTGTCGTTATTACGAAGCGCAAGTCTCTCATCGAAATAACGTGGAACTGGAAGTGCATACATTCACGAGTATCTGTCTAATATATATGCATGTGTGTGTTTATGTATGTGTGTGTATGCGCACCTCGCGACGATGTATACTAACATACAAGCCACTGACTCCGGATCACTCTCAGTAACACTAACAATAAGTAAATGGCTATGGCATCATGATAATCACCGAAGGTGTTCTTATATCAAAAACGTTAGATAATAGTCATATATATGTATATACGAACGATTAGCGCGCGCCTGTTTCGCTTGATTCTCGGATATGATCGACTCGTACATGTTTTCACCGTGTTCACCGTTGAATCTCGCTTCTTCGTCCACTTGAAAAGAAACAGCCATAAAAAAAAGAACAAAGCAATTAGCTAGAGCTGAGGCTAAGATATCCGTGTCTCACATTTAACTAGATTCGACTTATTTATCTCATATGTGAAGCTCATATGGTTGTATAGAGTTAACCCAATTAATTGTTAATTATTAAGAATACTGTTAATTTTACCGCTGGAAAATGTTGCGGTACCAGATTTAGCGTATTCGTTAACTATGTTATAGCCAAAGACAATATTAAGTGCCAAATGTGAGGTACGAATACAAACTTCAGTACGCTTGAGCTATTTAGGAATATTTCTTAAGCAAAACTGTTGAGTGAGTCACTATTGAAAGTCACTTCCAATTTTTTGCTTATAGAAGAGTACATACTATCAAGAGCCGTTCTTAATGAGAACCGATTGCAGAAAACACAACATCTCTACAGATATCATAAAATAAGTAATTAGGATTTTTGTAATTTTGAAGGCAGTCACTTTTCGATCCGATACATCTGGATTAAGTTACAAAACAAATTGATAAGGAATCGATGGTTATCGGATAGAAGAATATATTTTTGCAATCGGTTCGAAAACTATTCAACCTTAACTGATATGGTGGAATTCTGTATAATGTGATATGAGACTATATTTATTTCTTTCTTCTATGCGAGTTTAAGCCACTGGTGTACCGAGTGCCCACATCATATCGATCAGTACGAATTTCATCGTTATTAACAAAAACATCGTTCCGTTTGTTGTGTCCTTTCTATGTAAGACGAGTTTAATTTTTCGAATATATCTTAGTAGATCTTTCTTGCCCAGTTCTAGGAACATCCGAATGGGTGATTCGTTTTTGCCATATCCGTTAAAGGTCGATTATATGTACATTAAGCTTGACGCATCGACGGTGACCGCGGGGCATTCGTAAGATACATATTATCATCGGGCGAAAGGCAACGTACATCGCATTGATTAATATTTTATATATTTATCTATATATATTATAATAATTATGCTATAAGACTAGATTCTCGGCGGAACGCTCTCACGTTGTTCCGACTCTTTTTCTCAATGTTTACGCAACCGTGTAATCATATTTATTTTGTCGTATTTCACGACGAGGCGCCGTCGATCGTTTGTTCGCCGAACGCCGTTCGCCGCCGATGGATTAGATCACTATTGTCCGCAATGTGCTGACACACAACTTATAGAATTACATACATACTTAGACACCATAGTCCTTACACTGTAGATACGTACATAGCTATATAAGTTTCCTGGCTGATTCTTGGAGTAGGTCGTTTACACTTACATTCTCGTTTCATTCGATCGTTTTGCGATGACCAATTTTATTATGGAAATATTCTAATCGATTGGGAAGAACAAACGATTTTTTCTTTCTCTTTCTTTTTGTTCGCTGTGACGAGTAGAGGGAAAATACGTATAGACTAAGTGAACATACTCTACCGATTATCCACAGATTATCCACACACAGATTAGTCTCTTGAAAAAGTATCTTCGGGTTTTACAGTAGTAGTCAATAATTATATATTTCATAGAGCTAACGAGTTTATACGAATGAAACGGATGTAACGGAATAAATCGTATTGCAAAAAATAAAATTTATATGAATTATAAAATGTGCTTTTGCTTCAGGCTTTTATGTTTATATATATATATTTTTTTTTATCGGAAACACATTCGCTTCACTTTCATTCATATAATATAAACCAAAGTGATTAATTAATAAGCGTGCAAGAGAATGGTCGGTAAATTTTTTATCAATTTGATCATTTTGAAAAATCGTCTCAAAAATAGTTTTTCCATTATCTTTCACTTGCTCGACGTAAACAATAAATTTATGTTTACTTCTGTATGAATCAGTTATAACCAATAACATTCACTTAGTTTATACACACTTTCAACAAACGTATCGGCTACATGTTGTTTTTGTATCTAGGTACAAATGGTGGATACACGATAAAAATGTGTTTGCGTAATAATGTCCTTTTCGAAATAGCACCTAAGTATATATACGTATGAAACAATCGTTAAAAATTCTGAACCACATTCTTTATACTTGAAATATTGCTAAAACATTGGCCACAGGCTAATGGTTATAAATTAAGTCTAAACTAAATAAATATGTTACAAAACGCGAAGGAATATTTTCTTTACATCGTACGGCTGACTTCAATATTTCGAATAATGTTTTTACGGTAAATATACAATTATACACTTGATATGGCAAGTATATATACACACGTTACAGTATCCCGTAACAGATATAATACCTAGATACAAATGTTTAAAGCAAGAACGCATTTAATTAAGATATCTCGATGCCGTACCTAAACATGTGTCGATACATTAATTAGGTACCAATGTCAAGATGCTTCATAAACCCAGATACTAATCTCACTTCATCGATGTCGTACACGGGTGTGGGCTCATTCGCGTAAAAGTACTTTCGGCAGAATAAAAAGCGCCGAGAGCGCAACGTACTTTTTAAGATCGTGGAGTTTCGAGGGATGAAGGGTAATTAAAAAGCGATATCAGTGAGCAGCATTCGAGCATCGTAGAGTGTACAATGTATACGCGTATTTCGCCGTCGACGTTTCTCCTCGTTCGATACGGAACCGAAGGTCGCTCGCGAGTCTCTCGTCGAGCGACGTGTGGAACGATTCGCGATTCTCTATTAGCCATACAAATGTAACTTTAAATCTGTAAGTCCATAATTAACACGCGCTCTATATATATCTATATATATGTATATATGTATATATGTACACAGTCTTACAAAGCAAAATTTACAAACATTACGACGTACGGTCGAATAAATATTTGTCCTCCGATGCGACTGGATCGGGTCGCAAGTGAACGCTTTGTCGTACTTTGATCGCGCCTCGCATAACGATCTCGGCTGACTGACAGCTCGTCGTTCGGTCAACTGAAAAAGCTCACTGTTCGATGATATCGCACGTGAAGCGAGTATTGAATAAAAATTAAACATTGGCAGAAACAACGAAGAAGAGACACGCAGTGGTATAAAATTTTCCTTTCTTTGTTTCTCCGTGTGAAAACGTCAATTAAATTCTTTGTATGTCTCCTTGCGCTTTCCATCGTTCAATGCAAAAATTGTACGCTTAAGGCAAGCGTAAGATTTTCGCACTTTGTAAGATTCTCCGCGAATTTTGAATAAAAGAACTCGGGGGAAATTTAGAATTGTTCGAGAAAACTATCCGTTAGATAAACAATTAGTTTTATGGCACAAAACTCGGCGCAATGGATGCAAAGATGTGTGTGAAAGTATCGAATGCACGCGCGATCAAAATACAAAAGCGTCTCGAATTGTCTGACGCTCGTTGTCTTACGGCCTGACGAGGGGAGGAACCGTGGTAGCGGAGAAAGGGCTCGAGCGAGAGATCAAGATGGCACGGGGGCAAGAGCAAGGATCCGCGACGATCCTACGCGAAATGAAGGAAAGCTCGCAACGAGGAACTTAACGTCGAAATGCCGCGTGACGCTTTCGTCATCGAGCGAGCGATCTACCTACCCCACCGGCCACCGACAGTCAGTTTCTGTAAAGCCTCTTGTGTACAGACAGTACTCCGACTATTTATTACGCCAGCAAGTTTTCGCAGTCGCGATACTCGAATACTACACTTCACATAGTATACTAACATATAAATCACGATAGTGATTAAATTTATTGAACATATTATCAGTTCAAGACTTAAAGTCATCGAAGAACGTTTCGTACGTAAAAATAACAAAAGTATTGATACAAGAAAGGAAAAGGGGAAAGATAATTCAAAGTAAAATCGTTTTGATAACGATAATTTGTAAAAATGGTAAAAAAAAATAGAATAAAAAACTCTACGATGTCTATAATATAAACTATTAATTGATGTAATACACAATCTTTTCATCTTATTGTCGCGTATTACATTTTACGTATCATTATTTACGTATCGATGCGATAAAATACGATTATATATCAGCAAATTATATCGTACTTGAGGAACTTTTACCCGTTGCGCCCAAAAATTGCCAGCGGTCGTAACAAATTGTCGAGAGACTGTGTGAATCGTGTGCGAAGGAATTATCCCTTTCTTAACTCTTTGTTAATATGAGCGTATGTGTATGTGTTTGCGCGTTACTCTTGATGTGCTGCTAGGAAGCTGACTAGATTATGGTCTAAAATACGAAATATCCAGGAAGTGGTCGTCCTCGATAATAGCAGAGTCTCATTCCCACGGGAGGAATTTCTCAAAGAGAAATTCTCGAAAGGGAAAAAAGACAATTCGACGCGCTCTCGCTATATCTACTGACGAGGATCCCGGTGTTCCGTATCGACGTTGACTACTACTCGACCTTCGGAAAGGTCGAAGGGCCTCACCTAGGCATTCGACTCTTTTAGGTTGTCGAAGTACTGCATGATCTGATTATAGTCCATACCCAGATTAAGGTCATCGAGCGCCACCGGTTCCTCTTGCTCCTGGGAGGAGGATGAGGCGCAAGAGGAGCTAGAGGAGGATGAGGAGGAAGAGGCGGACGGTGACGAAGACGGAGGAGATGTTGTGGTGGACGAGGCCGCGCCGCCAGTAGGAGTAGACGAGTTTACGGTGGAGACGGCGGCGGACACCACGGCGGAGGTGGAGAACGACGAGTACATCGGGTTACCGACTATGGTCGCCCTCTTGATCTCCCGGGACCTGCCGGCGTCCTTCGCGAGATGCCTATTGCTGTCGTCGTGATTCACCAGCTCGACAAATTCCTCGTCCTCGCCGTTCGGCTTGTTTGCGTTGTCCAATCTAGGTTTCCCGTGCGATTTCACTACATGATGATTCGACTGCTGCGGTGCTTTGCCGCTGTGCCGATGATTATTTCCGCGATGGCCGCCGCTGCCACCGCTGGACGCCCTGTGCCGATGCTTCCGCGGCGGATCCGGTAGCCGCACGCCTACTCCCGTGTTCCTGTGTGGCGGTACCGGCGGCTTATAATCTTCATTATTGCCGTTGCTCACGTTGCTCGTGCCGACCGTCGTTGTGGTCGCCGTGGTTGCCGTTGTCGATGTCGAGTTCGCGACCGGCACTCCGTGTGGTGGCAAAGGCGGAGGAATATCGTCGTTGCTGTAAAAAAAATCCCGATGAGGCTTACGCACTCGCGAGGCTGGCACTACAGGGTAACATTGATTTGTTAGAATCGTTAGAAGCTAAAAAAAATATTACAGAAAATTTAAATCAAACATCACACAAATTGTTGCAAGAAATTTCTTTTCGGACATCGCTTTCTTCCCAGAAGAGACATTTCACTCGTCTCCGGAGGATCTTCCACATTAGGAAGGGCAATAACGTTCAATCATAATTACTCGTTCCGCGCGGTGTTCATTATCGGAGCTACCATCGATGCCGCCGTTGACGCCGTCGTAGCCGTAGTAGGCGGTATCGCTGCGGACGGCTTGACCGCGGATTTTGTCGCGAAACTGTTTCGCGCCACTCTGTCCCTTTTGGAGTAAGTGGTAGTATCAATGGCGCTGGTACCACCGCTGGACCGTTGATTGGCAGACGGCAGCTCGATGTGGTTCGGATTGTCGAAGCAGGTGCCCAATTCGGCCTCGGGTTCGCCTTCGCCGGCCAACGGATTACTCGTTACGCGCACCTGCGATACAAACCGATTTTTTTTTTTTCAATCAAATTGATCCAACAAAATCCCGCTTGTTTTGTTTTTAAAACAAGTTGCCGTTGGGTTAGCAAAAATGCGCAAAGATATTTACAGCGTCAAATCTCGTCGAGAGAAAACTCGAATTGATTTCAATTACCGGATTAATCCTGGATGTACCCGTCGAACCGTTCTCGCTATCGACGTTACGTTTGTTCAGAATTTCATTTGTTATTCTTTAATTTGTACGTAATCCTCAATTTTTATTTGTATTCCTTAATAATTTTGTGGCACTGAATATTTGATACTCAGGAATTTGAAGTAAAGAGATTAGTGCGGAGAGTAGCAAGACTGCTATTATTATTGAGATAACATGATAGCAAATGGGACGTGACACAAATCGATGAGGCCGAGAAACGTAAATTAAATTTCGTCAAAATGTAATCTCAATTCTATGTAACTGTTTACAAAATAACGTACGTCACTAATCGCCTGTGCAAATGAAATTTTATTAGAAAACAGTTCCTTCTTCCAAAAATCTGAAAATCTTTTCTGCTCTCGTCGATTCACACAACAGATACTAATAATACTAACGTGATTACTAATCTAACGGTGCAATAAACTCTCTGATCAGGATTCGAGGGTATCGAAATGAGTTTTATTAATGATTATCGACGACTTGATTTATGGCTTCACTCAGGAATGATCGAATTCACAGCGACGTACGTACCTGTTGCGGACCGCAGGCAGCTCGTTCGAGGGTCGCTCTGCCCAGCCATACCCAGTCGTGTGCGTTGGTGGTCGATTCACGTGGCGGTCGTCTGCCAGACGCCAGCTGGTTCGCGGCGGCGCGTGCCCTCGCACCCGCGCCAGAAAGCACCGGGACGGCCGCGCCGGTCAGCGGAGAGTCCGGTGGCTGGGGCTTGAACTTGCTGGCGTACACCACGCAGGAGACGACAAAGACAACGATCGCGAAGCAGAACGCCGCGAGCAGCACGTACATCCCGATCTCGAGCGGGCTCATCCGCGCCCCGGCGCCGTGGTGACGCACGCCGACGCCGCCCATACCCCCTGAAGACATGCCATTAGCTATAGCCGTGCGATGCTGCCGTGCCTGCACCAAAGGCTCGTGCTCGTGCCCGTCTTTCTCGTCTTTCAGCGGTAACCCTTTGCACAGAAAAAACAAAGAGAGAGAAAGAGAGAGAGGACAGAGTGAGACGCGGCGTTTGTGCTGTGAGTTAGAGAGCCGCCGAGAATCTTTCTCCCTTGATTCTCGCCTTCAGCTAGACGGCGGCTAGGCATGCTATGTCGGATGTGCCAAGTTTGCGAGGATACTGAATGTGCGTCTGTACTTTCAGCGCGACAATTCAACTAGAATATGCAACGACTCGACGTTATACAATACTATGATGCACGATCGTTCCAACTTTCGGAATCACTTGGAGAAGGAAGGGAGGAAGGAAGGAAGAGAATCATGCATACTTTCAAGCTTTTCACCTTCTAATTCTCGCTCGGATTCAGAATCTTCTTCGTGTTATCAGGATTAAGAAATTCGGAGTTAATTTTATTTCGTCCAATTCACCATTGTTCGTAAATCGTAAGAATATTCAGATGATAATAGACATTTCACGTTGAATGATAAAAGTAACAAAGTTCTCCACTCATACTAACGAGCGCGTTGTGTCACAAATTACTCTTCGAACTAGACGCATTTGACATTCAGCGCGAAGGAGGAAGACTATCAGTTACGGAGGACTGGATGGGAAACCGCGGGGAAAGATGACGCATAAATAGGCAGGCGGAACTTTTTACAAGCCAAACGGTGCCGCGAACAAAGTTTCCGCTGAAGAAATGCGGAACAAAGTGCATACCCGTGCGCTACTACGTGGCAGTTATAAAGCGTAGAAAAGAACGGAAAACGTGAAGAGAGAATGCGAAAGAAGCGCGAGGCAGAAAGACAGAAAGCCGGCAAAGAGGAACAGGGTCTATTTACCGATGAGGATGTCGTGTAGGTCGGACGCCATTTCGCCCCGACCGGTTTTACGTTCTCTGTGATGGTGAGAACCGACGGTACCGCCGCCGTCGTTCTGGACGAATTCCGGCCGATTGGGCATCTCGCTCGAGGCGAAATCCACCTCGACGTTGGCCGATGCGCTTGCCAACGCGGCGGCCGTCGTCCTCTGAGAGGAGCCCTTGCTCGAACGTCTGCCGGATAATCGGCAGGAGTCGGCCAGCTGTAAAGTGACGCGCAGCAAGTCACCGCGGCCCTCGCCGACCGCGATTACTCGTGGATGATGGGAAGCGACCATCGGTGCGAACGCCACAACTTCTGGATCTAGACTCTCCACCAGTAAATGGTAATCGCTCACGGCGATTTCCCTGAGGGGCGTACGGGTATTGTCCGAGAACTCCACGTCAATGTCCAGCAGTCCTTCCTGTTGGTACAATAACAGCGTCAAAATTTACTTGCTTATGCAATCATAGTTTTGTTTCGACCGCGAAGTATACCATACATATTATGGTATGTATATATCGTGTATCCTCGAGGTAAACATCGTATCGGTTTCTCTAGAGTGAAAATTTAGTAGATCGACATAATTATCATCTCTTAGCTTTTCACAGCTCTTTTTTACATTTTAAACAAGTCGACACCATATAAAATGTTATATTTTTAATTTATTATTTCACCCTGGTTTTGGATTCAAAATTACTTAGAAACGTTGAAATAGCAAATGTTTAAACTTTTCTAAATTGTAAATTTACCTGATATTGGGCAGTTAGTCTTCGCGTGACCGAAGTTTCGGCAACGTATCCGTTCTCGATCGCGGTATCTGGACTGATACTGAGTTGAAGCCCGGACACCACTCGGACGGACAGACGCGTCACGGACACGCGGTCGTTGCCGACTCTGATTTCCTTCGCGCCGATGACCCTACCGGTGATCGGTGACAGCACCTGCACCTCCGTGCGACCCACTCCACGTCCCTGGACCAGTCTACCTTGAAGAAGCGTCGCTATTCTAGGATCGGAGACACGCAGCATGCCGGCCACGAGGTCGGTAACTCGCAGCCAGGTGCGCCGATTGACAAAGTACGAGACCCTGCCAGAGTCATGATCGGTCGCCAGGAATCGGGCGTGCACCTCGACCGGACTCTGCTGGAAGCGCAATCTGCAATTAGCCGTGGGCAGGCTCCGATCGATCGAGTTGATCGTATCCCAGCTGTGATCGTTGCCATTCGAACGGAACCGTTCCTCGTGCTCGTCATCCTCTTCGAGTAGTCCGTCCGGATCGTCCACATCTATAGACGTGTCCTCTATCGACTCCTCCAGATCGACCGCGCTTCTCTTCTTCGCTCGCGCGGTCACCGGCGATGTTTCCGCTGGCGTTGTCGACGTCGAGGTAACTTCGGTCTTCTCTTCGACCTGTGTCGCGTTCAGCAAGCTCCGCTTGCTCTTGGTACTCGTGACGTGCTCCTCTGGTACCTTCCAACCCTTTATCTGGTTCAGCCGCGTGTCAGCGACGCTCACCTCCAGTGGAAGCTCGGGCATCCATACGGTGAATCTGGCCAGGCCGGTATACGTGCCGTATTTAACGAGAACCGACGCGTTGCTGGAGCCCCGGATCTCCGAACCATCCACGTACACGCTACTGCACGAGGACGATACCTGCGAGTTTAGATATACGTGACAACGATCGGGTATTAAATGTAGTTTGATCCTAGTTCTAGTAGTTGGTAATGTACGGTTTAAGTGTACGGTATTCGGGCATCGAAGGCGTCATTTAATCCGCCGATTATACGGGTTGTTAGGAGTTTCAAACTCGGATGGATATTGTTCTCGCGCGTTTAGGATTTAAATAACGCATTATATTATTATATAAATTTTAGACGTACTACGATCGACTTCATTTCCATTCTGCGAACATTGGATTTGGCACTTAAAAAATTTCAACAATGATACGTAAAATAATTGTGTGTGTACCGAGATATTCCCTTTTACATAGGAATAAAATCTTCTAAGTTATCAGACACGAGTCTCACGGCAATAGAAATGAAAAAGCAGCGAATTCTTTGGCAGCGGCATATAATACCGAGATTTCTTCAATTAAACTCCTCGAAATCTCGGTGAGTGCTGAAGATAAATTAAAAAGCAATTACCTTGAGGACACTCTCGTCCTCGGAATGACAGGACGACTGCAGCGTGACATCGGCGACCGTGCCGGCTTGGCTCACGATGAAAACCTTCATCCCCTGCGACACCTGACGCCCCGTCAACACCGCCGTATTCATCACCTCCCAGTTCTGAAGCAAAACACAAAATGCACTCTCTTGCTCACCGAAGAGAAACTCATAGCCTAAACTACTATTCCAATTTTTCTCATATCTAAACTCCTATTCCCATTTTTAATAGTATGTGACGGAAGTTTGCATATATATTTTAATATATGCATCCCTGTAACCTTCATTGATAGAGCCATTATCCATTATTCATAACTGTTATCTATGCTGCCTCGAACTTTATTCCCCTATCGTCGTGACAAGACAAAAGGCGCGGTAAGCGATATTAAAAAATATGAACTATCGAAAACATAAACTTCAAAAAATATAAATTAAACAGAAATATGCAGATCGCAAAAGAGAAATATTAAATTTGCATTTCCTCCCCCCCCCCCCAAAAAAAACGTATACACGTAAACATCTCAAAATAAAGTTAATAAATGCAAAAAAACTCTAGGAAAGTTCAATTTTTCCGTTAACCCTTGATATAGTTTATACAATTCGAAATTGAATACATAGCATGGAAATTTTTGAAATAGATTCCGACCGAAATTATTCTGCTTTCTCTTGAAAACACAATAGAAATCTAGGAAACAATTGAACAATTCCGATTGGAATCTATTCCAAAAGTTTCCACAACACGTGCTCTGACATCACTATAATTATCTTTCAGTTATTTTGTAAAACTGGAATAAACAATCTTATATCTCGTTTTAACAATTTTGTTTGATTCCACTCCTCGCGAAAAATTTTTGATCTTTCGCGAAAAGTGGAACTTCAAAGCTGTACATAAAGGTTGCCTCAACCATAACGAAAAGTCTTTTCGCAGTTTAAGCCGCTAAAACTATCTTCTCTAATAGCACATATTTTCTACATTCAAAAAGTTACTAAAGAAGTTAATTTCCACGTTTTCGAAATAACCGATTAATTCGCAAACTAAAGAATTTAACTTGGTAAAATCATGAAAAGTTGAAAAGCAACTCACAGGCGTGAAAACTATCAGATTTTCATGAACTGTAGTTATTTTACAACGGACGAGGTTTTGTTCTTGCAGCTTGTCGCTATGTTGCTCGTACACGTGGGAAATTAGTTGGCACGTTTACACGTTCACGTGTACGTCCGTGTACTTTACACTAGTCGTCAACGGGGGTGCTCCGCAAAGGGGTTGGTTGGGCAGGGTCGGTCGGTCGGTCGGCCGACCAGACTAGTAAGCCATTCCCAAGTTCGCTTCCGTCCATACAGACTGGCGGCCTTTGGAAGGAACATCAAACGGCTCGGATATTGCAGCGAGGGAATTTAAATCCCTGACGCCACGCCGGGGTGTATGCGCCAGCCAACTACTATATCGCTCGCGAGTGGACGAGTGTGCTCTCTTGCAATGATAAAAGCGGCGGGCGGGGTTTACATTCGAACGCGAACCGCGGCTCCTTCTCTTTCTTTCGTCAAATATTTTCTCATCTGTACCAAGACTCGCGAAAATATTTACGAGACCACTACACGGACTACGCGCCCGTGTACGTTGTATTTTGCCGCGCAGAATGCGTCGTTCGCGAAAGAGACCCGAGAAATCTCTTTGAGAGACGAATCACCCGGTTACATACACCGATCTTTTGATTCAGTTTCTATCGTGTGATGCGAACGTTAGTTAAGAGTAAAAAAAGTCGAAGATCGTGCTATTTGACGATTTTCAATTCTCGGTGAAGAGGCATAAAAAACATTTTTAAGACTACGCACAGTATTTGCTTCTTCTATTCATTTTGATACCTTCGACAGCATCGCTTTTCTTTTAAACACAATTTTTT